AAAATTCAGGTCCATAGTAGCCTTATAATAATGATTAAAAAAATATTAGCTGGTCAGAATAGTGTATGCTGATCCATTGATCTACATCATCAACTGTGAGTTTGCATAACTTCAAGTATGCGCTATATAAGCTACAATAGGTAGGTAGGTATAAGAAAAGAGGGTGAAATCAGTTTATTTTCAGTACTGTCATTATCTGTGCACTTGGCGATTATTGCGTAGTGTTTTCTAAAATTATTCTACTTAATTTAGTCTTTTGAAGAAATCCTTTTTTCCTGCATTAAAGAGCTTGTCTTCGCGTAGTTTAGTATTTCATTTCTAGACGTCCTTATGACCAGAAAAGAGGATGGCGCAATAAGAAGAAGTGTATATAGAAAACCTACATCAACGGGTCAGTATACTCATTTTCTCAGCTTCGTACCCTTGAAATACAAACACAATCTGATAAAGTGTTTGGTTCACAGAGCAAGAGCAATTTGCTCGGATGAATGTCTTGATGAGGAACTGAATAATATTAAACGGTTGGTAAGTGAAAATGGCTATCTATAAAGGTTTATTGATAAGAATATGAATCTAAAATCAAAGCAGCCCAAGGTACCAACTGTTCGAAAACAGGCCTTATTCTTACAAATGCAGTTCCTTGGGGACAACATCAGCGCGATACTAACACAGTGCCTTTAAAACAATGATAAACTTCATAACCGTCAACGAAACGGTGCTAAACTTTCACAAAAAATACAATGACTCGACAATTTACACTGCAAGACAGTCATATAAAAGTTCACCGTTTTTTTCCTTCACGTTCCCAGTGGAACATAGGGCTTCAAGCTAGTGGCTTGAAGTTTCTGTAGCAGTGTTTATTTTTACAGGATGGGGTTGCTAGCCTCATGTCCAACTTTTCCTCTCCACCAGCATTATTTCCGGTCTTAGCGAGGTGAAAGAGTGCATCGGCCGGGGATCGAACCCTGACCATGTGCATGGTCGGCGAGTGTTTTAACCGCTATGCCACCCGGTTAGCTCAGTCGGTAGAGCATCAGATAAAAGTTCATCGTAGTAATTGGTAACTGTTTTATGAAGTGTATTATCTGTATCAAAAGTAACTTTCTTTAAAAATCTGATCAATTTATGATATTGAAAAGGATAGTGGATTTTTTTAACAAAGCTGAGATTAAGCCTTTCAGCTTCTCTGTAAAAAAATTATTCTCCATAACTATACACTGACCTGAAATACATTCGACGTCTGTTTACTGTAAACTCCAATTTCACCTGACATACAATATTGATCTGAACTTTAATGTAGAAACGTATCTGGGCAGTTAGTGTGACAATAATGGCTAGATGGATGGATGGTTTTATGGCACTCATTCACATGACATTTGAATATAACCGTTTTGAAGGTGAATCGTTATGTCGCCAAGTAGAGAAAACAAATTCTCAGACTATTGTTTCGACTGTTACCCCCACCCTCACCCCCTGCTTCCCATTATTTTCCTCTTAAGTTTTACTGACACCTGAAAATAATTAGGAGTATTTTGTTAAACGAAGACAGTTTTAAAATAGTTTTGCTTATGATGTTGTAGGCGTAGGCGTTTAACAGTGATACTTATTATATCTTTAAATAGTGTTTAGAATGTCCTAGAAATCTAAGGTAAAGCATTAATGTCATCATTGTGTACTAAAATAAATCTGGTTATTTAATTTTAACACTAGAGTGTAGTTTGTTTAAACATAGATATTTATTGCTGCAAGTATTTTGAAAGCAGTCTTTTCAGCATTATGCATGTAACTATCATCATAGAAAAACTGCAATGCATTCCATTTTTTTTCTTAGTTTTTGACTGGTCATATGATTATTTATGATGAAGTATAACCAGAAATGTTATCCACTGTGCGTGTGCGGGTAGAATTACGTTTTTCAGCTTCTAAGTGTATGTTTTTTCTTTCTTCTCTCAAACTGATCCATTTGATTAGAGAAATCAAGTGAATTGATTAACTAAAATTAAATAATATTTGTTGGTTGCACTTGATATGATCAGTGTGAAAGTATTATAAGTAAAAGGTATTCTGTTGTGCTAGCACCTTCGACTGGTGGTAGGATAATTTGTCTGTTGCTTTCTACATTCATTGGACGCATCGCATTGTTTTCATTCAGTGATTTAAAACATACGAATGTTGGTTTGTAGGGATTTGATTGATTGGTTACAGGATTTCATCATCAGCTGGCATTGGTTAGAGAGCCATTGGAAAACCTGCAGGGAGTACTGAACAGCTGTTTCGTTAGCCTAGTTTGGGACTCGTCATTAGCACGCACCCATCTACAGAGTTCGAACCCAGGACCTTCTGGTTAAAAGGCGAACTCGTAGACCAATAAGCCACTGGAACCCGATCCAATGCCCGGCCCATGAATTCTAACTTCTGCCAATTCATGACATAGCGTTACCATTAGTCAACGTCTTCGGCGAGTATTTGACCTCACACCCGACCTGCTGCACCCTCCTGATATTTAAGCTGAAAAAGGATTAGAATAACTGTAAAATTGTTACATGGGTTGTCTGTTTATGATTCATGACGTGAAACAATAGATTTTATTTAGACTATGGGTTTTTTAGGGGATCGAATTAATTTCAGCGTAGACTGCATCACAAATTAACATCACTTAGCCGAGTCATCGAAAACCTAGGAGCATTAGATAGCTGTTTTGTCGTAGTTCAGAGTCTTTAATACAAGCTCTGAATATCAATTTCCAGCTCATTGGCACCTACTGCATAGATGTCTTAAAAGGTGCAATGAAAAGTCGTGACCAGTGTTAGCATTCACTATGTCAAGGCATTAGTTGCTGGTGGTGCTCTATCCGGGTCATTGAATTCTTGTCCAAGGGGCTAAATGGTCGGGGAGCTTGGTCTCGTAACGTGAAACACCCTGGTTATTGGTGTGCACTGTTGAAAAGCACAGAGATAGGGTGATAAAACTATCCTCCACCTTCCGATTGACTGTCGATGATTTCTCTGACTGATCTTGGTTCTTGACGAAATCTGCACAGAAAAACAATTTATAGGCATATATATTGTCTGTTCTGTTACCACTTGAACAGTGGTGGAGAGCGTATAGAAAGACGAAAGAATAATAAACCTTTTCTGAATGCGAATTCTCCATTTCTTTTTCATTTAATAGTTGTTGTCATTTCTTATCTATACAATGTTATGTGATTTATCATCTAATGTCAGATATTTATTTTAAAATAAATAAAATGAATGTAAACTCATTTCATTTTCAATGACAGTCATTTAATTGACCTGATCAAAATAATTGTAGTGACAGATTGTAAGTAATGCATTCCAGACAAAACAATACATCAAAGCATGGTAACCTCTTAGTTGGAAATTAGTTCCAATATCTTTTCAATTACAACAGTATTTTATTACTATATTCAATGGTTAGATTGAGAACTGACTAGTTTGGTTTTCATTAACCCTAAATTGTTAGTGATCGATATGGCATTTATTTAGCTTTCACAAATTAGTCCTGTTTTGTAGCAACTTTTTAGTTGAAGTATGTTGTGCAGAACAATTTATGATTCTCTTATGCGATTTTAAAAAGCGGTCTTTAGGTTTGAATATTTGCAAAGGATTTATATACTTGATTCCTGTTCCTCGAATAAGTATCTCTGATGATACTGCCATGATTAGTGGATTATAGTACTCGGTAACTGTATGTTCCTAATCATTAGGCTTGTAAGTCTTCATGTGTTACGTCGGATAAAACATACTTCTTTTCTTGGTTGGATTTTCTTGAGACAACTGAAACAGAGACCCGTAGAAATACAAGTGGTATTTCTTGAAATCAGACACCCCAGGGCAGGTGTTTTTGTCCAAACAGTAATGTTACATCGAACTGCTTTTCCTCCTTTTCATGGCTTCTTATGATCGTGTAAAGCATTTTGTTTGCTTTCCTGATGTTGTTAGTTTCCATCTCAATTTGTTAGTGATTTGTATGACAAGGTCAATAGACACAATTGTGTCAGGTCTTTCTTTAGTATGAAGTTATTAACCTAAACTTTTCTAAAACTCGCAATCCGTGCTCTGTCTGTCATTTTGGTATTTATTATAAGTCTTTAACTGACTGACTGGTGTCAGCGTAGAACTTTGCACCGATGTGCAGCAGTTCGATTTGTCACAATTCACTAATGATCAGGAGGGCTTCGCGTGTTTTTGGAAGTGTGTGGGTGGTTGTTACTTCCCGGCTGCCTGCACCGGGGAAGTAGATTGATTCTTGAGTTACTTGGAAGAGAAGGACAGTTGGTGTTGCGTGACAGCAGAGCCCAGGGGACACGTGCTTGAGGCCGGTCACACATGGCCTGTATGAACCGGTTTCTTGGATTGGTTCTGTATTAGTAACTGACCACCGGTTACGGACCACTGTAGGGTAAGTTGCGATGTACGTTTTCTAACCCTCTTTCTCCAGAGTGGAGAGACAATATATCTGGCATACTGGTCATCTGAGGGAAATACCTTACTGCCATTACATTCCTGTTCCCCAGCAGTACGACTTCGCCCACAGACTCCCAGCATTGTGTAAAAAAATCTTACACTATGTCCGTAACTGCTTTTAGTCTAATCGCTATCCTAACAATCTTTCTGGCATGGTAGGACCTGCAGGAACATTACTTCCAACTAGTGTAGCTTGTTGGGTCATTGCGATATGCAAGCTCGACCACCACGTCAAGTTAGCAGCTATCGGTCGGGTTTATAGGCCTTTACAAGTCCTGTCTTAAACAGGTAAGGTATTATCACTCATTTTCACTAGGCAGTAAAGGATAGGTGTGTGCAGTTAGATTGTTTGTATGATTCCCATATTCACATCCTCGCTGTTTCTCTTATCACTATTATGTATTTTTGTGACACTTTTTTAAAAGTTTACTTTACATAGTTTAATAAACACATTAAAGGTTACGCATTAGTAGGTTGCACCATCAAATGTTTTTTCAATTTTCTTTTGTTCAGGTCTCCACTATTCCATTCATTTGTCAAATGTTGTTTAATTAAAAGTGAACGACGGAGACCTGATGCGGCTACAATGCTTACTGTAAGTCCTCTCATTGCCTTTGTATCCGCTTTAACTACTCTTACTAGCAGCAGTGGTAGTTCTTTTCACATACATTTTTTGATATTTTGATAAAAATTATTTACATCCGTATAAATTAAATGAAGTTTCAGCTGCGTATGTTTAACTAGTTAACTAACGCGTTTTGACCATACACACCCCAGAAGTTATCTCTGTTATAATTTTCTAATGATTATAATGACCATTGCTTGTTTCGTGTCTGCTCAGTTTCTCTGAAATTCGATTATAATTAGGCTTCCTATATCAAAGCTTTCTATGGAAAGACATAAGTTGTTTATGGGGGAATCATATAAGAATTCTTACGCTTAGGTCCTCAAATAATAAAATAGTCACGTTCATTACTGCTGCATTTTTGCTTTTCTTCTTATGTGCTACTGTAGAGCTTTCTACCACACCCATGTATATTTTCGCGAGTTTCTCTCTCTCTCTCTCTCTCTCTCTATATATATATATATATATATATATATATCAGCTGGAGCAGTGGCTAATGGAGAAAAACTAGATTACTCGATTTAGATTTTACAGCAGTCTTACCTTCAACATCGTTTCAACTACAGGCCAACGGAACTGACGAGGATATCAAAGCAGTGAGGATAGGGAAAGCAGGACAAGCTTTCATTACTCTCAAGTCTGTGTGAAGGTCAACAGCACTCAGCGTGGAAATGAAAATAAGATCCGGATTTTTAACGCCAATGTGAAGTCAGTGCTAATATACGGATCAGAGACTTGGAGCGTCACGAAGGCCACTTTGAACAATGTACACATCTTTATCAACAGTTGTCTTCGCTCAATACTACTCAAGATCAGATGGTCAGAAAATATCAGCAACAGAGATCTCTGAGAGCGAACCAACTCAGCAGGAACCGATTGAGTAACAAACAGGCGGGGAGAAATGGAGATGGATTGGCCATACTCTGAGAAAACAAACCATCAAGTGACATCACACGCCAGGCGATAGCTCAAGTGGGACTCGAATGGTTATCGGCGAGTTAGTCGTCCGAGAGTGACATGGAGGAGATGAAAGCATGTGGGCAGACGTAGAGCCAGGTGGAAACGTCGGCAGAGAACCGAAGGCAATAGAGATGTGCGGCTGAAGCTCTATATTCCTTTAGGAATTAAAGGAAACAATAATAATATAATAATATCTTCAGCTTTTAGTTTAAAGCCTGTATGAAAATGCAGTTTTTTGATCAATGTCTCCCATAAATTAAATCATTGCCTTTGTATTATATAGCACAAAAGTGATGTCAGTACCTCAGATACACATACAAACTTTATTTTCACTTGAATTGTGAATTTCCAGCGCTAAGTACAAGTGTAGTGCGTTTAATATCTGAAATGTCATTATTTAAAGTAGTATTTTCTCTGTGTGATCATGTACCTATGAGCGAGATCCCTTTTCAATATTATCTGATGAAAATCGATGTCAACGGATCAAATGTGCAACTATCAAAATCTAATGTTTTTTGTAGATATTCGTGCTCTTCAGTTAAATTTGAACTAAGTTCTTATAAAATCACAAGGTGTTCAAGATCCATCATCATTTCATAGGATTTCGTCTTATTAGTTTGCGTAATTGACTTTAGGAAGTTTGTTTCAGCTCTCATAAGGAACCTTGTTGTAGTTCTTGTAAAATAAACCTAAAGCATCTTGCAAAGTTTACTGAAAATACGTTCATATACGGCATTTTCATGTACTGCTGATACCTTTTTTGCACATTCATATTGTACCTATATGAATACTGTTGAATTTCATCATCAATTTGCAGTTGAATACCTGTGTTTAAATATTCTTTACTTATTTTTTTTCAGCATAATTTCGTTACAAATCCTCATTTATCTACATTATTAACTCAACGTCTACTATGTTATCGACGACAGTTAGAGTCTACAGCTAAAAATGCTTATTCTCATGGCGATGCAGGAATATCTATACCACCGAAAAAGATTTCTGCACCTGCGGGGAATTTCGTTTCTCCTAATAATCATGCGCCTGGATATATTGTGCCCCAACACAATGCACCTCTAATATCGAATGCTGGTGGTACACCTAATTCAAAACTAATGAATGAATTTGCCGACACTCCTGTAGTGAACAATCTTGCGGTTAGTTGTGGAGTGGGTGCTGGTGGCCCGGTACATTTTGTGTCATCTCAGAAACTTGTTCTCGAACGGAAACCTGACGTATTCCCCAATGTACAGATCCACAACAGTTTATCTTGCTCCGATATAGCAAATGTAAGCCCTTTTCCCCATATGAATCTATGCATATATGTGTGTATATATAAATACATATGGACAATTGTAAAATGGCAGCCACACCTTATGACCCATCTTTGTAAGGTGTTTTCATTCAGTTACTGGTCAGTCAGATGTTTGTTATTCAACCAGTGAGTATTTTGTTGTCTTCATTGTCAACGGCATATCAACTTTTACTATCTAAAATGAGGAAAGAGAATAACACTATCCTTCGTCTTCCATGACTTTGCTGAGAGTGTCATTAGGACAGATGATAGGTTGTTTTCATTTGAATATTCTAACTGGCTATTAACTATTGAGTACGTCAGTTTTATTAATAATTCTAACAATTGCCCTGCATAAGCGTGTGCTCTATTGTCTTATTTCTACCCTTGAATTTTGCTCAAATAGAATTTTAAAATATGTAGTTCTTTATTTCCCTCGTAACCTACTAATTTGCAAGTTTTATGGTGAAATTTATGCATGCGTATAAGAAACAACTTATGACGAAGCGATGTTTCAATAACCACGAACAACAGAATATCCTAGTGTTTTGAAATGGGGTTCCTGTAGCTTTTATAAATGAAGCTCGAGTGTTCCACTCTATATATGTAGTAAACATTAAAACTCTTGTTGTCCTCCGTAAAGTCTTGTTTTTTGTCGTAGTATTTTATTTTTCTACGTTTTCAATATTGTTTGGTGAACAAATGAACTCAAGCACGATTTGCTTTTGCTATTGAAGACGTTTAAAAAAGCTATCTGAGTTACTTACTTACTTACTTTACGTTGTTTAACTACAGTTTCATTTCTCGCTTTGTATAACATAACATTGATCGGTGTTTTAACTGCCCTGTTTTAGATGAATGATGATGTAAGTTACATAATTCATGTACTAATTAAACATCTCATTCATCTTGTAAATGTTTCTTATTGAATCATTTTAATCAGATCACTGAAGAAGTTAACTTCATTTGGTGTGTTCTTGATTTTGCTACTGAAAGCTGTGATGTTTAACCGATTATTTTTACTCATCAGAAGTGCTTCCTATTTAGTTATACTCTGTATGGCTTTCCTTGTCCATAAACGTTTGTCTGCTTATCAGCAGATAGAAGTTTCGTGTTTTTGTATCAATTAGGTCAACAAGTTGTGACTAATTATAATTGCAACATTAGCTAATATGAAACGTATAAACAAAAAGTTCGTGCTAAACAATATAGTAGTCGACTGAGATACTCATAGTTTAGAGTCTGTTTTCTTTTTTTCAAATCATGAGTAGTATAAACAAATTGCTGAGGAAGAACACTGCTTCATTTTTAGCACATATTTTTTTGCAATGTCTGAGTAACTGCTGCTACGTCACAAGTTTTACGTGCTAAATGCTTAGTGTCTCTAATTAAATCACAGTTATTACCATTACCTAATATCAGCTTATATTTAATTTCTATCTATAATCGGAATGATTCGACTATGTGAAGAGAAATTATCGATTTTTTAATTGATTAGAAATGCCCATTAAAAATTTTTGTCAAAAGAATGGTTACTGAACAAATAGAATATTCTTTTCGATAATGCCTTCTTCACCATCAGCTTCTACAGTTATATATACATAATAGTCAGTGAATTAGTGTTATTAACAGCATGAATGATGCTTAAACAACGTCGAATCAATAATAATAATATCAATGGATTACAGTTCGATAGCATCAACATAGTAATACACACTGAATCTCAAATAAATTAGGGAAACAAATAATTCAAATGCATGAATTTATAAACTCCACTGAAGGCCGACCAGGGCAGTAGTAGTGGCTGGATGAGCTTCTTCTGCACAAAGAGCACCGGTTGTTTCACGCAAATCGCAAATGACCTCTGCTATCTGGAATATGCGATACCTGCATGTTATTGGCAATTTATTTGGTACCCGATAGATGATATAGAAGAATTCCTTAATTCTGGCTTTGTGGCCGGTTTGGATCAGTTGTTCTAATATCGAGCTGTCGATGCTACGCACTACACCTTTATTAAACCACAATGGTAGATGTTTCCGAGCATGGAAAATCAAGTCCCCAGAGCAACAGTCAATATAAATCGCTGGACAAGGGCAGTCAAATTGATAGATACACTTAGAAGTGGCTAGTCTACGTACTTCATCTTTCAATTGGGCAGTCATCACCAGTTGTGTGGAGAATAAGACTTGTATTTTGTCAGCATTAAAAATTCTTTCAACTGATTTTCTTAACTTCTTCGTAATGATTGCACTAGGTGTATCGCCCTTGAATTGCAGTCGTATGTATTAAGACTTCTTGTTCATGGATAGTGAATAGTCCTTTTCAACTTTCCTAGTGATACGTTTCCTGATGAATTTCTCTGGATAGCTACTTTCAATCAAGGTATCATAAACCATCCTTAGTTCATCTTCACTTAACTCTTCTGAGCATTTAGCTACAACCCTGTAACTGGGGGGGGGGTATGATTAAATTTATTTTGTGCTGGAGAGGAAAGAAATTATGAAACTGTGTATATTCTCACGTCCATGTGCTTTTGCTACGCAAATTACTCTTAATACTACACTAGGAAGACAGTTCTACTTTGGGATTTCTCTTTGCACTTGATTTTCATTGAATTGAATAATAATAATAATGTGTTCCTATTGGAATCATTATCACAAAGAATAAAGGTGCCATCCTTATACTGACAATAAGATGAAGATTGTCTGATAAGGTTGTTCAAAGGTCCATTTTCTAGCTCACTTAGAAAGAAATCTGCTAAAATGGGGACTCAATAGGGAGCCTATCGCCATCCGATCCAAAATCATCGAGGTCCTGCATACTCCAAACAGCCGAGGCTACCGAGATTCGCGTGAAATAACCAGTGCTTTCTGTGCAGAAGAAGCAACTCCAGTCACTACTACTGCCCTGGTCGGCCTTCAATGGCGACTTTAAATTCATGATTTTGAATTATTATTTTTCCTAATTTCTCTAATATTCAGTGTGCATTGTTATGCTGATGCCATCAGACTGTAATCCATTGATATTATTACTATTCATTCGATGCTATTTAAACAACATTGGTGTTGTTAATAACACTAATTCATTGACTATTATGTATATATAACTGTAGAAGCTGATGGTGAAGAAGGCATTATCGAAAAGAATATTCTTTGTTCAGCAATCACTCTTACGAAAGATTTCTTGATTGCACAATATTTCAACTTATTATCACTAGTTAGCTTAGAAAGCTAGAATTCTGTCCGCCTGATCAGACGGATTTGCTTAACGCATAACTGACTAACACATTCTCGTCTGTTTGATGATTTTCTATATGTAGCTATTGAAAATATTCTTATTTCGCTTACTGCTACATTTGCGTGTTTTGTGTTGAATTTTCCTCTGTGAGATTTTTTTGCAACATGACATGGTGGTGGGTTTTCACGAATAAATAACCCAGAAGACTCAATTGTCTCGTATTCAAAGTGAAGTTTTAAGAGTTATTGGCATCTAACTAAATTTTTGAAGACTAATGTGTTTTTCAACGAATCGAAAAGTTTATTTTTATTTTGGTGATCCAGTGTGATTATGATTATTATTATTTAGTGATTGGGTTTGATTTTAATTTTATTTGGTGATTTATTTGTTGTCCATAATTAATCATATAACTTCGTTGCTAATGTACCTCTAATATCATAGTATTATCGGTGTTATGGTGTTGATGTCTTATTTTCAAGTTTTAATTTTTATTTCATACACACAGGATTGTACGAAGAAGTCTAATGAGACTGCTGAATCTACAGATGTAAATTATATTGTGCAAGGAAAAGAAAAGCTCACTAATACTGATGAATTAAATAAAAAAGCCTACCAGTCATCCGAGAATACAACAACTACAACAAATGGTGGATTGTTAAAACACTCACTATCCGATCTATGTCAGTCGGATACATCGAAGACAAAATCTCCACCTGTACTACCATTGAAAAGCACTAGACGTTCTTCTGTAATTAATAATGATAGTAATCATTCTGTAGATTCAAAAAATGCATTAAATCAAGATAGTAATACAACTGGTGGTGGTGGTGTTACAGCAACAACAGTTGAGACTAGTCATATCCCATCGCCTGTTGTTACAACCACTACTTCTAGTAATATTAAACCAAAGCCTAGGCGTCCTTGTCCACCTATAATTCCAATAAATGCATCACGTCTGTCAAATGTAAGCGGTGTTGCTGATATATCCCCGGGAACAGGTTGTTTAACTGAAAATCATATATTTGCAGATCGTTTATTACATGTCAGCTCAGAGGCAAGTGCCTATTTTGACATTTTATTAATTTATTAAGTATAGATTTTTTTGTATATCAAGCATTCTACTATTTCGTCTAGAGACTGTTTATTATCAGCATGCATGTAATATAGGGCTTGATATCCATTAGTGACCCTTACTTAACGACGCATTACTTCATCCTAGAAAGGAAGGGTCATTGATAAGTGTATGCTCGAAGTATTTGTTTATTTGTACTAAAAGTCGTGTTTTAATGCCATGCTTGTTTATGTTACCTTAATGTGCTAACTTTCACATATCATGCTACTTGTATGCACTTTATTCGCCTTATTCTTGCACCATGTTTTTACTTTATTTGTCATCGAGAATTTCTTTATAGAGGTGTGATTATTAGATCCAGGTACATATATCATAAACCACCTGTATTGAGTGTTGTTATTAATTTTTATTTCAGTTGAAGATCATTAAAACCATGATTAAACCACATTAGTGTGTATTAACTAACGTTTCTGTTTTGTTTTATTTTATTTTTCACTTTATACTGTGGAGGAATTTTTGTGTTTATTTTGTTGACTCAGATGCTTGTTTTGCTTACTGTCCTTCTCCTCCTCCTCTTAAGTCGTGACAATTTCATATTGTCACTTTGGTCATTTACTTTCTCTATCTGTTTATTGAACTAGCCTATTTTGGCTCTTTTAGTTAAACAGAGAGAATTATCATCTGATTTCGTTATATGTATATTTTTCCTCCTAAGATTTACATGCTTTTTATAGCTAGAAATAAGTTTATGTATTATATTTTTATTCCAACACTTGAGAATTCCTCATTTTTGTTTGTTAATTTTTCATTTCTCTTTTACAGGATTTACTTCGTGAAGTAATGGATGCATTCGATAAACGACGAAGTGGTGTTGATTTCCGTGGAAGTGACTCTATCGACTGGTAAGAGTGCTTGCTAGTGGTGGGGTAGTGCATACACAACTTTTCTTCTTTTATTTTTTAATTTTTTTAAGACGACGACTGTTAAGGTTTAATTCTAGTTGCTGACATTTTCACTCCTTTTGACATTTCTAGTTTTCTTTTGGGGGGGGGGGAGGTGAATAACATGTGATTTGGGATTTTGTGTGTCAGCTGGGTGTTTGTTGTTGTTGTCGTCTTCTGAATACCTGTAATCCATTGATTATTTGGTTAACTGAACTTTTATTAAGAGTGTGAATAAAAAACGTTTAAAATTGATTTGAACTATTTAAGCTTAGGTGGACAATATAGAGAGGGTACTATTTCATGTGTGTGATTTGCATTTGGTTCGTATTGCATACACTAATGCCTAAATTGTGATATTGTCTTTTCACTGTATAATGTAATACAAAATGCAAAGTGATATATATATATATATATGTTTATCGATTGACTTTTTGAATTAGGTATGGAATTTTGCGAGAGTGAAATAAAGGCATGAAATAATAATTCAGAGTGTATATTGTACAAAATGTGACACGTCTTATCTGTGAGTAAACCACTTAAGCATCGTTTCAACTACAGGCGGACGGAACTGACAAGGATATCAAAGAAGCGAGGATAGGGAAAGCAGGACAAGCTTTCATTACTCTCAAGTCTATGTGGAGGTCAACACCACTCCTCACCATGAAAAATAAGATTTGGATTTTCAACTCCGATGTGAAGTCAGTCAGTGCCACTTACTATACGGATCACAGACTTGGCCAGCGCGTCATAAAGAGCACCCAACACAAACCACAGACATTCATTAACAGCTGTCTTCGCTCAATACTCAAGATCAGATGGCCGGCCAGAAGAGATCAGCAACAGGGATCTCTGGTAATGAGCGAACCAACACAGCAGAAACCGATTGTGTAAAAAATTAGCAGGAAGAAATGGAGGTCGATTGGTTGGCCATACTCTGAGAAAACCATCAAGTGACATCACTAGACAAGCCATTGTTCGAGTGGAACCCGATAGGGAAGCAGCGAGTTGGTTGTCAGTGCAAGGGTGAGGTGACTTGGAGGACGTCATGTGAAGAGGAGATGAAAGCATGTGGGAAGACTTGGAGCCAGGTGAAAACTCTAGCAGAGAACCGAACGCAATGGCGACGCGCGGCTGGATCCCTATGTTCCTCTAGGAATGAAAGAAAATAATAATAATAAACCACTTATGCTGATGTAGTATTTCTACTGATATTAGGTTTTCCAGCTGCAAAAAAGTAGTTAGGCGCTTGTCTTTCAAATGTCGATTTCCTGAGGACATCCAAATAAGCAGTCGAGAGAATTATCTAGTCTTCAAAGTCCCACTTACAAACAGTATGGTGTATTTCTTTTAAGCGTTTTATTCTTTCGTATCTAAGACTCTATTTAAAAACTAGTTAACTTTGCCAATTGTTTCCTGGCCAAGTGTTTAGTGCGTATTGTTTGGTTTACTTAGTTATATGTTTAGGTCTTCTTGAGTACTTTCTGTATTTTCGAAATACAACTATACTTAGTATATATATATATATATATATATATATATATATATATCGTTCTGCATGACTTATTACATCTCTATTGTCCTTATTACTTACTCAGGTCTAAATGTCTATATTGTATCGACTTATGTGTGTGTCATGTTTTTGATGAATGTTATTAACTAAATCATTGATCTTTTTTACCAAGCAACAATTACTTTTTCATGCTGATAAAACATGCTAACTTCTATTTAGCATTTAGCGCTACGTTTACCTGTTTAGTAAAACAATTTAAAATACTCGATTATTCAATAATAGAAGAATACAAGTTCAAGACCTTTGGTGTCTTTCGGATCCCAAGGACACAGAGGATGAGAAAAATTCATTACTTATATCTTATTGCCTGGTTCTATTTTATTCATTCATTTATTAGGTGTGTATACGAAATGCTACTGAGAATATTCCACTCATCTGTTGTTGTTTTCTTTAAAATGTGTTTTGTACTTTCAGTTTGGATACTAATCAGACAGATGGTGAAATTAAAGCCAATGTGAGTTCAATTGATTCTTCTCTTGTAGTATGTTTTAATGACGTTTCTTTCAATATATTATATTATATATAGTACTTTGATAGTTGACTTCTCAAATAATGTTAATAAGTTCATTCTCATAAATGAGAAAGTATTATTAAGTCAGGTACTCAATTTAATACGCGATCACAATCAATGTATGTCCTATAAAGATACATGAAGTCGTAATGATCATTCACTATACAATATGATAGGCAAGTATTTGTCAATATTAATCGTACAAAGCAGCTATGCACACATCAAATTAATTGTTATCTCTGTTTTGATGTCATTAAGATATTGATCTTTAATAGATTAAGAAATGGCAACACCAATGGCATCAACCATATTAGCAATACATCCGAAATCAAAATAGTTACGGCTTTCAAAATAGGTGAGTAATCACTTCTTTTGCCTATTATTAGAAGTATAAGACAAATTATCTGAAGGAATGATAGATCTCTCAGTTATTCGACAACCACTTGCAATAGCATGCAGTCGGCAATGAGACACATCTGTTGTGTGAAGGTTAGCGATACTGCGGCGTGTGCTACTAATAAGACTTATCAGTAGTAAATAAAGGGACGTCCATCGACATAAAAACATCGAATAGCGGGGAAACAGACTGGATGTCAGGGATATCAAATGCTGCAGCACTGCAGAGGTACATAGGGGACGTGGTAGGAACACAAAAGCATACAATATGAAGGAAGGCCAGAAGTAGCACAAAACGGATGATCTGTTCAAATCTGTCTCTTTTTTACATAGAACTTTGCACATATGTGCGGCAGTTCAAGTCGCCACACTCCATGTACCACACAAAGCAACAGAAGAAAGTAGAAGTAATGCATAATAGAGACAGTAAACAGAGATGTGAGACAAAGGAATAGTAGTAACGAAGAACAAAACAGTTTCATTGGAAATTATAAGTCACAAGGAGTGGATGCATCTGCACTAGCCATTGAGAACGATTTTGAGCCATATCACTAATTGTTTCCAACCATTGGTTTTTACCGTCCCGAGGACCCCAACCAGTCAGGAAGTCTACACCTTCTCACGTGACTTTAACTAACTGTTGTAGATTTCATTGACTGGTGCCATGTTTTGGTTTGACCACCGCTAGCTCTTTCCCAGCCTGACCAATCCTGTGTCAGCTAACATTGTCCGTTGTGGAAGGCGATGACTTGGCATTCATTCGTAACACATATCCTAACCATCTCAGTCGATGTAATTTCACAGCCTCGTCGATTGATTTCCCCTCCCTACCTAGCACTCGACGCCTAACCTCAATATTGCTCACCTTATTATACCACTTCACACGGGAGATAAAGCGCAGGCACATATGATCAAAGACAGCTAGCCAAGCTTTTCATGTCTTCCACTCTCAATGGCCATGTCTGGCTCACAGCCATAAAGGAGGACGGAGCGGAATGATGAGCAGTACACCCGCCCTTTAGTCCATAGTCGGATATCTCGTCTATGCCAGAGACAACGTAAACTGGCAAATGCGAAACGAGCCCCCTGTATCCTTGCTGAGATTTCGTCAGAGATCAACCCGTTGGGGCTGATGGTACTTCCCAAATAAGTGAAGCGGTCAACGTGCTCTACCACTTCACTTTCTATTTTTAAACTAGGCGTCGATGTAGTCCAGTCCTGTAACATCATCTTGCATTTGGCGGGAGCGACTCGCATGCCAAACATTCAAATGGTGTGTCGAAGATAAGGTGTACATAATTTCGCTATATAGGGATACCAAATTCCTAATAGGCTTTCCTTTACCAAGTCTCTTATCTTCTGTCGTTACAATACTACCTTCCTGCCTTAACTTCGGTAGGTAGAACAGGGTTTCAACCTGTGACCCACTGGTTGGAAATAGAGTGCTGAGACGCATGAGCCACTGCTCCACGGAGTGAATAATGAATCCATCTAAATAGGAAGCTGAGAAAGTGTTTACATGAGATCAAGAATTCCATTTACTATAAATATATCTAGGCACAGCTTACTTTCTATTCTTGCTAATCTGTAGAATATGAAACCTCAGTCTACTTAAGAGGTTTTGGACTGTCACGTGATATTATTGCGCAATAAGCATTGTCTTTAATTGGATGTTTACATTTTGTGTATGTGAATATCAAGTTACAGTAATCAATATGCTTATATTTGTGTGTTTCCATGTTATATCATTATTTTTCTTTTGTAAAGAATGTATCACGAAATGATGCTGGAATAACACCTCCACCGATTCCTCCGGCACCACGTTCACGCTCTAAAAGACGTGCTCCACCTCCTCCACCACAATCATCATCTAATGCTTTTAATAATGTTAACATTACGAATTCATCATTTGATCAAATCATTGATATCTCCACTTTAGAAATTGGTAGTGATATCTCCAAAGCTGATGATCTATTCATGAATGGACTATCTGCTCCATCGCATGAAAATCATGTTGAAGAAACCTCGGGTGATATATCTTTAAATTATAATATTAAAATAATACGAGAAAATGTTACAAATAATCAAGAAAAATACAATTCTGTAAGCATAGATCATAATGGTCAAATATCTATTGTCAATGAAAATGATAAGACATTGACACCAGCTCCACCTAGACCACCACCTCCTAAAGTGGATAATAATCATACTACTGCACCAACATCAGTTTCAATTTGGAAAGGTAAACAAAATGATGATTCTAAGCATGTTTCACGTCAACAACAATTAGAAATAGGTATTGGTCTTCCGCCTACTCCAAAAGTTCATGTAAGTCTATCATTACTTGTATGTTGTGATGTATATCTCTGTCGTGAAAATTGTTTCTCTTTTTTCAAACATGAGCATTTGATGCGATAACTTTTTAAGTCATGGAAAATTCCCATTGTAACATATAAAAAATCAAAACAAGTGATTGAGCGAAGAGACTCTTTTCAACGAATTTATTATCAAACTGTACAGTTGTATATATGTGGTTTTTAAGAAATTATATCCGGTGAGGGAATTGAATCATAGGCGCGAATACATAAAATAATAATAATAATAATAGTATGAAATGCAATTAAAATAAAAATATTTGTGGTTATAATTACAGTTAAGTGGCAAGTGGCAAAACAATTAATGCCATATATACAGAATAATTCATAGGATGGATAGAAATTGAAAAAGGGTGTGCAATTATAGGATTAGTAGACAAATCGAATAAAACAAAAACGTTACGTAATTTTTATTTGGTTTTGTTCTCTGAGCTGGATGGTTAGTTTGAGAAGCTTTCATCGCCCTACTGGGTGACATCTTCAGCGCATACTTCAATCTATTGAAGTGAGCTTTTAGGTTTCTCCACGAGTTTATTAATCATTCCTCCTGGTGACCTTGGACGTGATTGGTTGTTTATGTGTGTTTTCACACCTTCTAGGTTACTTGTATTGGAACTGATTGTTTCTTTGACTTGAACTTTGACCCTTTGTGTCTGAAGTTTCTTTCTTATTGGTTGATGAATTTTGTCTATCTCGATGTGTCTATTGATTGATGATTCACTGGAATACCAAGCTTCCAAAAATTCTCTAGCATTCTTGTTATTTCCTTTGTCTAATATTTGAACGTTGTCCCAGTCGAATTGATGTCCGTGGTTGTCTGTGTGTAGTGAAATGAGGGAGTGGATATCATGTCTTTTGACGGCTAGCTTATGTTCGTGGATACGAAGACGAAGGGGACGTCCACTTTGGCCAATGTAGTGTTTTTCACAGTTGTTACAGTTTATTTTGTAGATGATGTTGGTTTTGTCTTCTTTTGCTGTTGAGTCTTTTGGTTGACATAGAATTGAGTGCAGCGACTTTGTTGGTTTGTGTACGACGTCAATTCCTAAAGGTTTGAAGAGTCTTGTAGTGATTTCTGAGATATCCTTTATATATGGTAAGGCGATTTTCTTTGTGTTTTCCTTGGTGGCTTTTGTTTTGGTAGGTTGGCCTGGGGGTATATGTCTCTTGATGAAATTCCGTGGATATCCATTCTTTTGGAAAACGTCCATGAGATACTTTTCTTCAATTTTTCTTAAGGTGGGAGTGCTGCAGTGAGTCCTTGCTCTCTTGAATAGTGTTTGTATGCAGTTCCTTTTGTGTGCTATTGGGTTGTTGCTGTTGTAATTCAGTATTTGGTCTGTGTGAGTTGATTTCCTATAAACTTGAGTTTCTAATTCTCCTGTAGTTGTTCGCCTGACTAAGACGTCCAAAAATGGTATTTTGTTCTCGGATTCCTCTTCTCTTGTGAATTTGATGTCGTTGAAGACGTTGTTTATTAAGTTGTGCGTTTTGTCTAATTCGTTTCTTTTGATTATACAAATGTGTGTGAAATTTAATAGCATAGAATTTATCGTTGTAAAAAAGAATAGTAATAGTAACAATCGACGTAATAAAGGAAGAGTATACAGATTGAATACACAAAACGAAAAAGAAATTGGTAGAGCCAAAATATGATTGGGGATCACCATACTTCAGCATAGAGGGATTAAGACCATGAAAGTTGGAGGGCTTGACGAACTTTTTCTGTACACAGAGATCTGGCTTTTCTATTTCGATAGCCAAAGCTTCAGCAATACAGATGAGTCGGGTACGTAGGGATTTGGGTAAATTACTCTTTGCCTTGTAGATGACTTTAAAGGCGGAGGCTATAGAGATAGAGTGATCATTATCGACCAGATTTTCAATGATCGCGCTTCTTATTGCTCCACTTCCACCTTTTCGTAGCCATGCAGGATAGTGTTTTTGCACGCTCTTGGACAAAACTTGAGTCGAACGACCAATATACCTAGCTCCACACGAGCAGGTGAATTGATAAACACGCATAGAATTGGTCAACAGCGGGATCTTGTCCTTCAGGTTATTGAACAATAATGGTCGGCTAGTAAAAGACTATTCTCAGGGATACAGCAGGGATTGTTCTTTCTAGGGACTGTGTTATCTTTTGTTCCATGATATCGGAAGCTAATTCCCCTTTGAATGCCAAGCTCATGTAGAGTATTTTCTTGGGTACGGTTGATAAGTCACGTTTTGTAGGCTTTGAATGAAAATTCTTATCTATAAAACGTGGTGGAAATTCATTTTCCACTAGGATATTCCTCAAAATGTATAACTCATCTTCCACAGTATCAGTGCTACATATGCGCAATAACTTTTTAAAAAATTTACTTTTAATACATCCGCTTAACAGCACAGTATACTTGCAAATAAAGCTAACCAAGAAAGTAACGTATAAAATGAATCCGTTTTCGGAGAATTTAACACCTAACTTTGAAAGGATAATTTTCTTTCCTCTGTTTCTGTAACTATTTGCTATGTCTTGTTAAATTAATTTTTACAAGTTTCGAAAGAAAATTTTTTTTAAAAACTGATATCAGTTAGAGAACCATTGAGAACCAGGGAGTACTGGACAGCTACTTCATCCTAGTTTGGGAATCATCGGCAGTACTCACCCACTGCCAGGGTTCAAACCCAGGACCCTCCGGTTACAAGGCAAGCTCGTATACCATTCAGTCACTGGGACCTGATTCAGTGGCCCATGAACTCCAACTCCTAACAATTCGTGATTTATAGCGACCCCAACCATTGTCGTAGGTGGGACATCCATCCATCTGGATGGACCTCACTGCCTATGACTCCCAAACTAGGATGAAACCGCTGTCTGTCCAGTACCTCCTGGTTTTCAATGTTTCTCTAACTGATATCAGTCCGTGATCAACTCGTGAAAACAAAACTAACCCTTACAAACCAAACTATTGAGAAAACTGAGTCGAAACGTGTCGCTAATACACGAAAAACCACCTACTTCTGGTTTACACTTTTCAAGACAGTGTAAATCTCCCATTGAGGATTGTTCAGACGATTACTAATAGTTGACGTGTTTTGATCACCGTTATCTTGATCCTCAATGCATCCTACTAATATGTGTTTAAACATTCACTCTCTACACCTGCCTTTATTCTATCAAATCCATTTTCAATTTCGTTATAAAAATAAATACACTAGTATTAGTGTCTCCTCAATAAAAATCAAGTACTGATTCATTTGTCTTTGATTGTGTAACATTTTGTCAATGTACACACATTCAGAAAAAAAATTATGAATTAATTTCTCTTTATAAATAACAATGAAATTATGAAGGTGTGTATTATACGTAAACTTTAGCTGAGGTTTTTTTCATAAAAAAACTGATATTACTAATTAAAAGTGTAAGCTGCTACCCTGATTAGAAAAACTATGGAATTCAATCAATAATATACTTACTTGTCTGTTAGACGTTTTGATGTGGATTCATTTCTTTTAATCTAAGAGATTAAAAAGGCAACGTTTTCTAGGATTCTTTTGCTCGTTATAACATCTGTCTGCTTATAGAAATGGTAATACTGATTAATATTTAGGTCATAGCTATTTTAGGGATTGGTTTTAGTGTGGATGTCGTCATGAAACAACATCAGTTCGACAATCAGTTAAGGTCATGATGAAATCCTGTAACCAACTAATCAAATCCCTATAAACCAATACTTTAAAATCAATAAGATGCTCACTAGCGACTGGTTTTTAATTTGGATACCAGTCAGTAACTAGTGTAATGTATCTGGTCTTATCTTTGGTGCAGACTGAATTGTATCAATTTTCAAGTATTGGTTTTGTAGGAATTTTGTTTGATTGGTTGGAAGATTTCATCATGAGCTGACATCAGTCAGAGAATCATTGGAAAGCATGCAGGGAGTACTGGACAGCTATTTCGTCACCCTAGTTTAGAACTCTTCATCAGTGCGCACCCATCTTCAGAGGACTAACCCACCACCTCCTGGTTACAAAGTGCGCTCGTAGACCATTAAGCCACTGAGACCTAATCCATTGGCCAACCTATGAATTCTAACTTTGCCAAATCATACTTGAAAATTGATCTGATGCTCACTACTGACTGGTCCTATTCAGGTAGATAGTAACCTGGGGTTCTAGTGAGAAGTCGTAACCAGTAGAGTGCAGCAGGTTGGGTGTGAGGACAAATACTCGCCGAAGACATTGGCTAGCGGTTGCGCTATGTCGTGGATTGGCAGAAGTTAGAATTCATGGACCGGGCATTGGATCGGGTCCCAGTGGCTAAATGGTATACGAGCTCGCCTTGTAACCAGATGGTCCTGAGTTCGAACCCTGGCGGTGGGTGCGTACTGCTGAAGAGCCCCAAACTAGGCTGACGAAACAGCTGTCCAGTACTCCCTGAAGGTTTTCCAGTGGTTCTCTAACTGATGTCAGCTCATGATGAAATCCTGTAACCAATTTTCGTTAAGCAGGCACCATTAGAATGCTGTTTCGTCACAGTTCAGAACTCCGGCAGTGCCTCATCTATAACTTCACTAGGGATCGAACTGGTGACCTTCAGGATACGAAACCAGTTCTTCGCATCATCCAACCACTTTGGCTGGAATTTAGTCACCCGTAAATTCTGACTCCGTCATTTGCAGATTTGGCGTTGCTGATTAACTTCGTTCTCATTTCGTCTGTACATTCTTCATACTTGAACTGTGTTAAAGCTGAGATAAACAAATTCGTTTTAAACGATATTCATTGAAAGGAACCAGACCATAGAGATGTCTGATTTTGAGCTTCCGACTGCAACCTGCCTAAGTGGATACGTCTAATTCTTTATTTCTGGTTCTGTATCTTCGCTATAACCAGTTGAAGCTGGATAAACTCTAATTTGTATTGTTGTAAAGGTTTATTATGTATTTTTTTGAGTTTTGAATTTAATAAAACATATTTACTTAGTTGTTAACTGGTTTCCACATTTCTTCTTCTCATCTATAAAATATGTGGTTGTCACAATAGTTCAGTTGTTATATTTCTAAAGTTTATATCCGGCATACTACTAAGCTTCGTCTTAAAATGTGTCATTCTATTTTTCATAGTGTATAAATTTGAATAGCGCGGATAATAGTAGAAGAATTCTATCGTCCGTCATATTGTATGTTTGTTAATAATCGCATTTAGTGCTTATTTTTCTACTCATTGAAGCTAATAGACAGCCTATATTTATGATTCAGTGATTCTAGTAAGTGGTAAGTAACAATGGGATTTTAATTCATTCTAAAACATTTATCTCTTCTCTTTATACAGATGGGTGCCTGCTTTATGCAAATATTTGAAGGTTGTCCGCTAAAAGTGAACTCCACAGCAACATGGGTAAATCCAGAAACACTAAGTAAGCTGACTTTTTCACAATTGGTTGATATTATCTCTTAGTAACACGGTGAACAGACTAACCTTCTTCATTGTATGCAGTTTTTTGAAGAAACGATTATTAATCAATACATAAGAAAAGTTGAATATGTGTGATGAGTTAAATTATTTAGTGAATGAGTTGTAATTAGGATGCACGTAAAAACAAGAGAAAATGTGACGCTACGTAACCGCTCAAACGAATAGAAGAGTTAGAATTCAAAAAAGACAAATCGGTTGGAAACAATAGGGTCATTACCATGATGGTAAGAGTGGTCGAAGAGTTCTCAAGTTTCTCTATCTGAGTAGCTAAAGCTTTCACAATGCAAGGAAGGCAGGTTACTCTTCACGTTGTTATTCAGATAAAATGGCCAGTTTCGATAAGGTGTAATACTATTGCACTCACTAGGGAGCAGCTACTACCTTGCTACAATCATTCGGGATATCGTTTTGAACCCTTTTAGACAGAATAAGTATAGAAGGATCAATACACCTGGCCCCATAGAAATAAGTGTATTGATATATGCATACAGAAGCAACTATATGTGATGTCTTGTCCTACAGACCTTTGTAGACAAGTGGATCACTGCAGAATACAACTTGTAGCGTTGCTGTGAAGAACATTCTTCTCAAATATGTTGAAATTCTTCAAAGAGCATCACAGGCAAAGTCATTCTTGAAATCAGAGTCCATATAAAGTTTGTTTTTAGAATAAAAATAATGTCTTTAGTCTCTGAATTTTCTATTTGATGTTCTTGTCAATAAGTTTCGGTGAATATCCATTTTGGATCAATGGTTTCTTTCAAAAGTTATAATTCTCCTTCTAAAGCGTGATGAACTGAAATAAATATGATAATTACATATTTTGTTTCTCTTTTTATTCAATGAATTATGTAACACTCGGTGTGCAGAAGTGCACAAGTAGACTTTTAAGGGAAATTCAAATATGTAACCAGCAGTTTAATTAAAACTGACTATTCTGAAGCTGATTGTACATTTACCACGTTGTAAGCCACATTTCATGTATGAAGTATGATTATATTATGTAGTTCTGCTGGCTGAAGTAGATGAAGCAAACCTGGGAATAATCGGTTGAGAGTCGAGTGCTGAATCCAACGAGATACCTCTCGAAAAGAGGTAGCCGAGGTTTAAAAAATACTATTTTTCTTATGATAGGTTACAGCGTTATTCAATTGGTGTGTTAGCTTGACAAACTTTAAAACAATACCGTTTTCCCAGAACCCTAGTGCTTTCAAGCCATCAGATTTAATTTTGTTTTGGATATCGGCGCATTAATCTAAGTTGTGTGTTACTGTAAACATCGTATAAACGAAAAATTGATTGGAAATATATATAAGGGATTAGCTGTCTTCTGTTATTATTCCTAATATATAGACATATAAACATTACATGTTTTGCAGTAATATCCCCCTGGATATATTATTACTGACGTGACTATAATTCACCTAATAAGTCAGACGTTACTACATTATCAGTGATATGACTGCTTATCATCTTGATAAATGGGATATAGCAGTCATGATTTATTCTATTGAAAACAAAATAACTTCAATGCTTACAAAAATAACAACTAAAAATCTTATCCTGTTGTATTAATCGTAGTAGAACTTTCCATGTAGTAAATCTGTTGCTTGCCTTGAAGTTTCTGTCAAATAAATTCATTTGAATAAATCTTAAGCTGCAAAAGTAAAGTGTATGTAGGGTTAGAACATCGGTGGCACAGCTGTAGAAGGCTCTCCAACCACCCATGTGGTCCAGGGTTCGATCCTCGGCCGACGCAATCCTCTACCTCGCTAAGCCAGTAATATAAAAGACTAGTAAAGAGGGAAGGTTGGGCATGAGGCTGGCAACCCCATCCCGTAAAAATAAACACCACTACTACCGAAACTTCAATTCTCTAGCTTAAAGCCCTGCATTCCACTGGGAACGTAAACGAATTTTAAAAAATTTGGGGTTAGAGAACGAATGACTCTATGGGCTTAATCCTATCTCCACACCCGCCTCTTTTATTTCTTTCATTTATAACAGAATTAACGTAAAGTGTAGATTATTCATTTAAAAAGAGTTAAACGGAGTACTACACCAAATACACTTCCGACAATTTGAGAGTAATAAAAGATATCACTCCGTTTACACCAATCTTTTAACGCTGGAACTAAGCAATTATTATTATTATTATTATATCCTTTAATTCCTAGAGGAACATAGGGCTTCAGCCGCGCGTCTCCACTGCTTTCGGTACTCTGCTAGAGTTTTCACCTGGCTCCAAGTCTTCCCACATCCTTTCATCTCCTCTTCACATGACCTCCTCCAAGTCACCCTCGAACTGACAACTAAATCGTCGCTTCCCTTTCGGTTTCCACTCGAGCAATGGCTTGTCTAGTGATGTCATATGATGGTTTCCTCACACTATGGTCAACCAATCCACCTCCATTTCTTCGTGCCTATTTGTCTCACAATCTGTTCCTGGTTGGTTGCTCATTTCCAAGATCCCTGTTACTGATCTCTTCTCGCCAGTCATCTGATCTTGAGTATTGAGCGAAGACAGCTGTTAATGATGGTCTGTAGTTTGTTTGAGGTGCTCTTTATGACGCGCTGCCAAGTCTCTGATCCGTATAGTAAGTGGCACTGACTGACTTCACATTGGAATTGAAAATCCGGATCTTATTTTCATTTCCATGCTGAGTAGTGCTGTTGTCCTCCACACAGACTTGACGTGAGTAATGAAAGCTTGTCTTGCTTTCCCGATAATTCTTGCTTTGATATCCTCGTCAGTTCCGTCCGCTTGTAGTTGAAACGATGCTTCCCAGGTAGGTAGGTAGGTGAAGGAGGTTGTTTCTTTCAGGTTCCTCCCATTTATGCTGGCTCATTGTTGTCTGTTGTTGTTGTGGCTGTTGGTGTTGGCCAGGAATCTTCATCACCTCTGTTATCTCTATGTTCACCTGAAGGCAGTCCTATCTTCTCTGGATGCTTCTTCTGCCAGCCTGTTGTTTTTCACCTGTATATCTTCCAGTTTGTGGGAAATCAGAAATATATATGTCATCGGCGAAGTCCAGACCTTCAAGTGTTTTTGTGTGGGTCCATTTTATGCCTGTTTCCTCCTTGCCCGTTGTCTGTCGCATTATCCGATCTACTGCAATCAGGAAGGTCATTGGCGATAGTAGACAGCCTTGCTTCACTCCCGTCCTCACTTCGAAGGCTTCTGTAAGTTTCCCGTTGTGGATGTAGCGTTGTCGTATAGCTGTTGGATGAGATGTATAATTGTCGGTGGCACCCTGTAGTGGCGAAGTAGTTGCCAAATCACCTATCGATCGACGCTGTCGAAGGCCTTTTCAAAGTCAATGAAGTTGAGATAGAGAGGTGACTGCCATTCCAAGCTGTGTTCAATGATGATCCGTAGTGTGGCGATTTGATCAATATATGGCTTGTTTCTACTGCATCCAGCTTGTTCCGATCGAAGTTTTTCATCCAGGTCGGCGTGTTTGATTCTCTCCAGGATGATGTGGCTTAGTATTTTGCTTGGAACTAACCAATAAATAAATTAAATAATTTCATAGAATAAAATACATACTTGTCATCTAATCAATCTAAATCACTGACATTTTACCTGTGTTAACGAGTTGTTTTTCGGTATTTACTCGAAAATATTTACATTTCATCGGCTACATTAAATTACTAAAATAGTATTTTTTGTCATTTGTCATTCATCAAACTCGAAAGTGTAGCGGTTGTGGAAGTTTCAATAATAATAATAACTATTATTATCATTTATTATGTGATAGGAGTCTTCGCGTTCATTATCATCACTTTTAATGATTTTGTATTCTGCTCTCCTTTATACTCATTGATAGATGATTATTTACATGAGTGTTTTATTGTGTTTTTCTGTTCTTTTTTATGAAGGTCAGATTATTCTTTTTGGCACCAATGATGGTATTTATTACCTTGATTTAGTGAATTTAGCTGATGGTACATTAGAACTGGTAAGCGCATTACTTCTTTCTCTCTTTTCTTCTTTAATAATTTTCCGCCATGTGTAAATTCATCATTTTGCCGTCTACTTGTCGATTAACCGCTTAAATCATGCAGTGCTATACGCACACACACACACACACACACATGAGCACATACGGACACATATGTGAACATGCAGACCCCAGCTCTTTGGTATGAATTACATACATTTAAACCTGACAGCTGTCATAATGTGATTAGGAAATATCTGCTAAAGGTTAGATAATAAGTGAACCATTAATGCTGCATGCATATATAAGGTCTTGATAGTTGATATACGGCTATCCTCGGTAATGTTACTTCGTATGTTAGAGAATATTAAAATATCCTTTCAAAAACCTTTTAAACCAATAGTATCTGTCATCTTCAATGTTTCATCTCACAGTGATACAGCCTGACGGTTATAGTTTTCCTTATATCAATATTCTTCCAGTATTATTAATATTAACTGATAGTGTGTAACTTTGATGACAATACAAATCAATCACAAAATGGCAACTAGTGTTTCGACTAAATTCTATCTGTAATGTTCTCAATGTGAACATTGTGCTAAACAAAACTGCATTACAATCAACTGCATTTTTACGGTAGATTTAATTGATGAGAAGCATGCGCCGAAGTTTTGAAGTATTACTAGCGTTGACTTACAATTAATAGTACTTTTGTTGTTGTTGTTGTTTTTTTAATGAAATTACATTGTATTCATTCTTTCTATTTATTGAATGTCAGTTTTCTATTTAGTGTACACAAGTGTGTGTGTGTGCATGTGTGTTAGTCCATTAAAGGATTTATCTTTACAAGAGAACATTTTCAAAATAAATAATTGATTTGGATTTGGACACTAGTCTGTAACTAGTGTAATGTGTCTAGGCTTACCCTTGGTGCAGACTGAATTGTATCAGTTTTCAAGTATTAGTTTTGTAGGGATTTCGTTTGATTGGTTGGAAGATTTCATCATGAGTTGACATTAGTCAGAGAACCATTGGAAAACCTAGTCCTAGTTTGAGACTCTTCAGCAGTACGCACCCATCGCTAGGGCTCGAACTCAGGCCCTTCTGCTTAGAAGGCGCGCTCGTAGACCATTAAGCCACTGAGACCCAATCCATTGGCCAGCCCATGAATTATAACTTCTGCTGAATCATACCTGAAAATCAGTCTTAATGCTCACTGGCGACTGGCCCTATTCAGGTAGTTACCTGGGCTTCTACTGGGAAGCCGTGATCAGTAGGGCACATCAGCTTGTTATGGTGAGGCAGTAACTCATCGAAGAAGACATTGCAAAGTGGTCGCGCTATGTCATGAATTTGCGGAAGTTAGAATTTATGGGGTGGCCAGCAGATTGGGTCCCATTGGCTTAATGGTTTACGAGCTAGCTCGCTTTGTAACCAAAAAGTTCTGGGTTCGAACCCTGGCAGCAGGTGCGTACTGCTGAATATTCCCGAACTAGAACGCAACAGCTGTCTATTACTCCCTACAGGTCTTCCAGTGTTTCTCTAACTAATATCAGCTCATGATGAATTCTATCAGTTCATTTCGCAATGTGGCCACCATGCTAGGTGGCCACGATGCACTGTGAATTGTTGGTATTGGATTGTTAGAGGCAATCACCAAGAAGCCTCTGACCTAGGTTTCGTGCTAGTTTGCACTCGTCAGCCAGGCATATCTGCGACCTCGAAGGAACGCATGTCCCTCTTGAGATTCGAACCCCCGCCACACAGTGCTGCAGTCAGAGACGTTACCACTAATATCAGCAATTCAAAGTGCACTGTGAGGGTGAATAACCTAGAATGGTGGCCACATTGTAAACCTGACTGATGGAATTCAATCTACAGCAAAAACAGGAGTGGACTAAACACGCTACACTAGTTACTGACTAGCGTCCAAATCAAAAATATCCAATATAGTCCTACAGGATTTCAATCGCAAATCACAATAGCTCAGTGGTAACGTCTCTGACTGCAGGCGGCACTGGGTGACGTGGGTTCGAATCTCAGAAGGGACATGAGTTCCTTCCAGGTTGCGGATATGCCCAATTGACGAGTGCCAACTAACACGAAACCTAGGTCGAGCAAGGCTTCCTGACGATTGTCTCCATTCATCTAATACGAACAAAATAGTTGTTTAGAATTCTTCAGCATTATTATCACTAGTGGAAGTCAATATGTTTATTATCATACAGTGTGCAAATGTTCTCCATTTGATATGCTCAATTGCTAATTGACGGATTTCGCATTTTGCCTGACATCTTCATTTTCACTAGATAATAAATTACATTCAAAATAAAACCTAAATAAATATCTTATTTTGTTTGTTGTATCCATGCATGGAGTCACTATTTTGAATATCTTATCAGATATTGTCTGTCGTTTGTGGATACAAAACAGAATAAAATTTCCGCTTTCAAACTAATACATTTTCTAAAAATCAAAAAAATAAGAATTATTGTTTTGTTTCTAAGCTAAGTTAAATTTATTCCCAGTCATCTCATATAAAAGTCATTTTCAATGCCTGCTTAGGAATACGAATTGAACAACTTTCCAGTAATTGAGTATCATAATTATTCTAACCATGTTACCTTCTCAAGTGTGTACATTTTTAGGAGACGTATTTTTGCTTGAAGCACAAACTTCGGTATTTGTTTTCACTTGACCTAATCACATTAAATAATGCGATGTCGTAAGGATAGATTGACTATTTTCTGTTTAATTCGTTCTAATCCGGGATATTTCTGGGTTAAATAATTTGTGAAGTTCAACAAGATTTCACAAAACTATGCTGTAGGTTTTGTGTGTGTGTGTGTTTAATTTTTCTAAAACATTCGGAAGAAATTAATTCATAACGTGATAAAATACTCCAGTCCAATAGGAAGAGATTAACTTGAGGAATGAACTCAACTCATGTAACAGGCTGTGATTCACACTTATTGTGTGTGAGTTGTAATAATACTTCTTCTCGGTTTGTTCAGACTGAAGTAGGTGAAGCTGGATTCGAACCCGATACTTAGTGGCTGAAAATTGAGTGCTCAAGGCAATAGGCAATATCCCTAGCAACTTAAGGAATACATATTTCTGTTCTCAAAATCAATATTTCATAATCTTTTAACGAGATAAACCTGATTTTCCTGTTATGCAATCCATCCTGCTTTTATTCCAAAGTCAGTATTTAACTATGAAACGTTCAGAATCCACCCTGAAGAAATTTAGTCAAATTTTTTCGTAAACATTCATCTCGAATCAATAATTTCGCCTTTTTTATTGGCTGAAGAACTTTGTGAGATCTACGTAAATTTAGAGAATATTTTATGTCCACTTATACAGTGAATAGTGAAATTTAATTTCAGGATAGGTAGTAATTGTCGTCTTCCAGGGTTACTATTAACATCCTGTGACGGTAAGAACTAACAAATATATCCAAGATGTTTCGCTAAGTGATCGAGTTTTAAGCCATGTCATGTTAAAATAGTTTACTGTACCACACAAGATGATTCATGTATTCCGTGTATTAATAACATCAGTTATTTTACCTCGTCAAAATATGGCTATTTTTCTTATCGATTTTCAAGTGTATTATCGATTTAATCACTTTGAAACAAAGCGAAATTAGTATGCCGAATTCTACCTATAGCCTAATACGTACCTCGGAAACAGTCTTTTCATCTAAAAGTTTTGTCTCGTATATCAGTGTAGTGTGTTCTGTAACACTAGACCACCGCTTTTTCTTCCTTCACTTTTACTTCATTGTATATAGTTCTGTGCAAAAATTTCCTGAGAATAATATCATCTCTGGCGTTCAGCGCATCAAGCAACAAAATACCATCTCGAATCTTTCTTCTCCAGCACATCAATGTATTATTATTTTATTATTTCTTTAAGTTCCGAGTGAAACACAGGGCTTCAACATCACATTTCCATTTTATCTTGTTCTTTGCAGTTCCTTTTAGCCGACCTCACGACTGACCATTAACTTTCACCTCCCCTTCCATGATACCCTTGGACCAATTCCCTAATCACTGTTCTCTATGTGGGTTTCACTCTAAGGCCTGGAGCGTCGTCACTCAACGGTTTCATAGTGTATGTACAATCCAGTTCCTTCCGCATATTTGTTGGGCAATAGGTTAATTGGTTAGTTCACTTTCAGAGTTCCTTGTTTCTAATCCATTCTGGCCATCCAATCTTCAGTATGAAGTGAAGATATTTATAAATGAGTGCTTATAGCTTTTTGAAAATGCCTTCCGTGAGTCCCTAAGTGTTGAAAATCCGATTCTCATTCGTCATGTTGGGTGGCGCAATAGATTTCAGATTGATGAAAGTTTGTCTTGCCTTTCCGACCCTGCCTTTGCGCTCATCAACTGTGTCACCTGTAGTTAAAATTGTGCTGCCTAGATAAGTGAAAGAAGTGACCTCGTTCCTCTCTTTTTTTATTCTGTTTCACTAACATATAAATAAAGTGGATAAAAGTGTCTCGTAATTTTTCAAATCTAAACAATTTACTACTGACCTTCACTGAAAAAACTAGTAGTCTGAAACACTTATGACTTTATTTTTAGACATAATTTGTTCACACAGTTACTCAGTTGAAATTGTCGTCTAGAATGGATTATGTAAAATAAAAATCTATTTCACTTATAACTAACTAGTCAGCTGTCTTATCGATCAGCCATTGAAATTTGATAATCAGACAACTGTGTACACGAGAAAAAGGAGAGAGAGAGAGAGAGAAAAAGCAACAACAACATATGCTTGAAAAATATCCGTAATATTACTTACTATTACTGTATGTAAATATTGACACCATCAGTGTGTGGGCGTGTGTGTCGAGGTGCGCGGTGGGGTGGGGGGGTGGGGAGTTGACCACAGAAATTCCTCGCAACTACTTCTTGTCTTACTAAAACTCTAGTTGTTGTTTTTCTTAACAAAAAATAAGAATAAATTGAATAATTCAAACAAAGTCGACTAATTAAAAATTCTGATTGTGTTCATTCTCATTAGCTGACCGACTTAGTTTAACACATTTAGTATATACAGGAGTCACAGTATATCCTATAATCTACTACTTTCTTGTCAATATAAATCTGCGTCACTTTAATGCATGTGGACTTTTTTTGATAACTTCACTTTTGTTTTAATCAAATTTTTAAAAATTTCGGATACTATTCGAGTTAAAGTGTGTGCAGTTCAAAGTTCACACGGTGTTTGTTTGTTTGTTGGTTTTTTTTACTCAGCTTTGTTGGGTTTTTATCAGTGTCACAAGTTTTTCAAGCATAGACAGAAATTGTTTCTTAATAGGTATAGGTTAACTAAGATCACTGTTACTGACAAAATTAATTACTTGAGCCAAGGCTATGTATGTATCTGTTAATAAATATGACACTAAACACCCAAGCGTTTTTCAGGTAGATATTGTCACTAATCGACATGATGATTTAGAGCACCATTCAAAGACTTATTATTGAATGCTGTTTTCTCCTTATTTAAAAGGGTTAGCAGTAGTACCTAAAGTGTTGCCTTGTTGCTAAGTACGTAGAAATCAACCTTCTGTCTATATACTGGCGACTTAGTCTTTTTTCGAAATGAGAAAATCCTCCAAATCCGCCAAACACTTCAGCATATCGACATATCGACACACTGTCGTCTAATTGCTTCTTCAGTCGGTTGTGGTATAAATTATTCATGAGAATGGAATTCTCACCACTTTAGGTGGGAGTTAACAACCTTTACTACTTGATTAGGAGGATAAATTAATCACGGCACCGTTTTCATACAGTCCTTCTCGTGTTGGAATTGGGGGCTAGTAAAGATCAGTTTTTTTTCAAAGTGAGTAGACGTGGGCTGCCTGTTCACCTGATATGTTTTAGTAGAAACAGCCTAGAGCTTCGTTATTTATTGTTCGATATTGATGTTATGTAAAAAAAAATGATTATACACTATCATATAAGATTGTCCAGTCTTAGGCATTTATGTTTCGTAGCTTAAAAATGCCCATAGAGTCATATGAAAAAGAGAGAAGACGTTCAGCGAAGAGACTCTTTTCGGCGAATTCATTCATATAGCTGTACAATCGCATTTGTATACAATTATTTGTGTGTGTGTGCACATGAGGTTTGTCAAGTTTAGATAATTAATTAGGTAATACAAGAATGATCTAATATAGAAACAAGGTTAATTAGACAGCAACTAAAGTAAGATTGAATTAATAAGTTAGATGATGTAATATAATTGACTAAAATGTTTAGACTTAGGTCAGGATAGCAACAGAGGTTATTGGAGGTAAAGACTAAGTAAAGGTGGGATAGAGAATAATTCCATTTAAATTAGGACTAAAATTGAGCAAATAAATTGGATGATGTAACAAAAACGACTAGAAATTTAATGTTGGTCAAATAAGTAACAGTGGTAATGAGGTGTAGAAATTAAGTCGGGTGGAGATAGAGAACAGAAAGTTGAAAATGTAAAATATTACAATTGTTAAGACAAAATAATACTAATAAAGAAACAGAAAGAAATATAATTTGCCTATCGGGCATTAAGATAGATTATGTTCATTGCAGGTGTAGTGATTAAATGAACTTCTTCTGTATGTAGGGTTCAGGACTTGGCAAGTGAATCGCCATTGCTTCTGCATTTCGAAGTAGTCTGTTTGACTCGTACACTTTAGGAAGACTGCTTCGTATTCTGTGGGAGACTTTGAAGTTTGATTTGGGTGTAGCTTGGTGTCCGGAATCTAACAGATGTTCTAAGATAGAGTTGCGGGAGCATTGCTTTTCTCTTTTGTAAAACCATGCTGGAAGGTGTTCGATGATACGTTTGGGAAGCGAACGCTGGGTACGGCCGACATATGTGGCTCCACACGAGCAGGTGAATTGGTAGATACACATTGATGAGGCCAACAGTGGTAGCTTATCCTTCACGTTCATACGAATCAAAGGTTTCGTGGAGAAAGTTAATTATAATTCAGCTGCAAAGAAGGTTTTCTTAAGTGGATGGGACAGTCGATTTTTCAGTGTTTCCTCAGATGAATCTCCATTGAATTGAAGGTTCATGCTTTGAAATCACATATATTCCTTTTTCTCAATACAAATATATATATATATATATAATTTTTTTTGTCGTTCTCGTTGTTGTTAGCTTGTGCCAAGACGATGTCTCTGGTTATTTGTCTTCAAAGACACAATGATGTCTATATCAGGTCAACATCCACAGTTGTTCAGTCATAATTTAATCTCCTTGATGAAAAATCGAACTTCGCAAACACGATTTCTTCATAAGTAAGTTTTGTTGTTGTTGTTGATGTTTCCTTATATGCTATTGTCTCAAAGTCATGAGATTGAAAACTCTTATTCACAAGACTATAATAGTTATCTGGTTGGAGATAATGATAGACAGATCAACAGTGTTTTAATAGATCATTATTTCGGTAGATGTAGTACAGATTAAGTCAAAGAGAGCTAAGCAGCTGTTTAATTCTGTTTTACTACTCCTCGAAAGTACTTGGCCTTTACCACTTTCATTGAATCAGTCATCACATCTCTTCATTGTCTCTCTGTTAAAATGTTGATATTCTATGCTGATCTTTAATGTTATGTATTTATTATTTATTATTGTTCCCTTGGGTTCCCAGTGGAACATAGGACTTCAACAACACATCTACACTTTGTTCTGTTTTCTGCCGTCCTCTTCAGGTAGGTCCGCGATTGCCCAAACTCTCTCATCTCTTACCTCCCACACGATCTCCTCCATGTCACCCTCGCATTGATGACCCACTCGTCGCTTCCCACTTGCATTTCACTGGAGCAATGGCCTGTATTTGCGCAGTGTCATTCGACGGTTTCCTCAACGTATGCCCGATCCATCTCCACTTTCTCCTACATATTTGTTGAGCGATGGGCTCTTGGTTGGTTTGTTCCCAGCCAGAGTTTCTTGTTGCTTATTCTTTCTGGCCATTTGATCTTCAGTATGGAGCCACCCAAGACAGCTGTTGATGAAAGTCTGCATCAAGCTGTTGGAAATCCTTTTCGTGACACACTGCCCAAGTTTCTGACCCGTATAGAGGGACCGACTTGACATTGGTGTTGAAAATCCGAATCTTGTTCTTTATGCTGAGTGTAGAAGATTTTCAAATTGGTTTCAAGTTGATTAAGGCGTATCTCGCCTTTCCGTGTCATCCGCTTATAGTTAAAACGACGCTGGCTGCCTAAATAAGTGAAGGTAGCAAACTCTGTTAAATCTCTCCCGTTGATAGTGATTGGTGCTGGTTGTTGTTGCTGTTGGTGGTGGTTGGTTATCTTCATCACCTCCGCCTTCTCTATGTTCATTTGGAGTCCTATCTTCGCCGCCTACTTCTTCTGCCAGATTGTAGGTTTTCTCCTGTAATTCTTCGGGTTTGTGTGAAATTAGACATATATTACCTGCGAAATCCAGATCTTCTCGAGTCTTCTTGTCGGTGGTTCAGCGCATTGCTATCTCCTCGCTCCCATCGTACAGTTTGACGCGTAATGTAGTCCACCAGCCAGCTTGTCTTACTCATGTATGCAGTTCGAACGCCTCGCTGAGTTATCCGTTGTGGATCACCTGACACATGGTGGCATTGTCATATAGCTGTTGGATAAGGTTGACAAAGACTTGAGGTACGCCATGGTGTTGAAGGAATTCCCAAATTACTTCTCGGTCAACGCTGTAGTGGGTCTTTTCGAAGTCCATGAAGTTTAGGTGGAGGTTTGACTGGCATTCTATGCTTTGTTCTGTGATGACGATGCGTAGAGTTGAAATTTGATCAGCACATGATTTACCTTTACTAAATCGAGCCTGTTCCGGCGGGCGGAAATCTGTATCCAGTGCATCTTTCATCTTCTCCAGTATGATGCGACTTAATATTTTACTTGGCGTGGACAAGAGCATGATTCCACGCCAGTTCTTGGAGAGGCCTAGGTTGCCTTTCTTTGGCAGCTTGACAAGGTAGCCTTTCTTCCAGTCAGTAGGCACCTCCCCTTTCTTCCAAACCTTTTGCAATAATAGTGTGAGAACACCTGCCGCAGTCTCTATGTCTACCTACAGTGCTTCGGGGTGGTGGAAATCCGTCTGATCATGCGTGATCGCATTCAAAATTTCTGATATCATTGGAGGATTGGTGTCCACTAGTAGGCAGTTCTGTGCGTGCTGTTGGTGGTGGTGTATTTCTGGGTGACTTGGAAGTGAAGGTCGACTCAAGAGTCCTAGCATGCTAGTTAACTAGGCGAGGTAATGTTATGTATTAGTATTCATTAAACTCTCCATATAATTTTTTGACTGTCTTTGGATGTTATCATTGTCTTCTTGTCATCATTATTATCATTCTAATTGATATTCTAAATCACATCTTTTTATTAGAAGTCGAGAAAATAGCCACTAAAACTAGTTTTTATCTTAAAACCCAAAACGTTTTTGGAGTACTTAATTTCTAGAGGAAAAAGAACAAGAAGTTTAGCAAAGATATCATTTCGATAATTTCATTCTCACAAGCTGTACAATCGCATCTATGTTTATAAGTCTACAAAGATGCAATTATGATTTATTTAATTCCACATAGTAACAAAGGAGATTAAGGGTCATAATAATTTTCAACTTGATATGAAAGTTGGAAGGTGCGAATATAGATTACAAAGGGCTTGGAAACATAATCATAGAGGATTAGGAAAATTTATTTTATAACAACTAAAGGTGTGAATGGGATAAGCATTGGAATAAGTTGAAAGAATAATATTTTAAAACTGAAAAATAAGGGAATGAAGGGGATGAAAAAATGGGACCAAAGAAGACAAACCGAACTAGATCCAAGGTAACTGTAGGGATTGAACCAGTTCCTTTTAAACACACAGCTCCGGTGTTCCGAAGCATATGGCGAGGGATTCCGCAATACAAAGAAGTCGAAAACACACTGTTTTGGTAGATTTTTGTTTACTTTGTAAATGACTCTGAATGATGAACCAGTGGAGATGCTGTGACAGGTATTGACGAGGTGTACAATTATGGCGCTCTTGATTGAACCATTGCTTTCCCTTTGCAGGCATGCTGGGTAATGTTCTCCAACACGTTTTAATAGGATCCGCATAGAATTTCTTTCGCTAATTCGTATGCCACTTGACCCAGTCACACATCAATATTTTCAAATTCATAATTAACTAAATCCTGAACACCCTTATTATTTCTAGAAATACTCTTTAAACAGACCTCTTAAAGTGTTGTATCTTCATCAAAATTTTCTTACCTTTGCCGTAATTATCTATTGTTCTATGGAGTTGATGATACTCCTGTGTAAATCAAACGTATATTTCTTGTGAAGGATGTGATTTTTGATTAACGGAGGTAAAGTAAAGTAGAGTTGAGTCAAAAACTTTACCTTTTGATATTATAAATATGGTATTATTATATTATACAGTGTCATCCCATTATCCATTTATGTTAATTAGCTGACTATACCGATATTTTTTCCGTCCATTGTTTGACGGGAGGACGATTTATTTGTTTCTTAGTCAGTTATAAAGACTTTCAAACCTCTTCAACTATCAAGATCCTCTTTCTCAAGTGCCTAACACTTCATGATAAGTACTGACTCAGAGTTTTTCTAATTCTTGAGTAGTTTTATGTTATGTGGAGTATATTCTGGAGAATTTCTTTTCAATCGTATAAATTTGACTCTCTTAGAAGTTTTGTTTTCGAATACTCTTTCATTCTAACTGTGAAGATATTCTTTGTTGTAATTAAATGTCCATTTTTTTTCCTTCACGTTCCCAGTGGAACACAGGGCTCCAAGCTAGGGGTTTGAAGTTTCGGTAGCAGTGGTGCTTATTTTTACTGGATGGGGTTGCTAGCCTCATGCCCAACCTTTCCTCTTTAACAGTCTCACTACTGGCTTAGCGACGTAAAGGTGTGCGTAGGCCGGGATCGAACCCCAGACCATGTGCATGGTCGGCGAGCGTCCTGACCGCTGTGCCACCGATGCACAAATGTTCATTAGGTTATTTATATTTGTGCTTAATCTGCACAATGAATTGTACTTAGGTAGGTAGGTAGGTGTCTTACACTCAGTCCTAAATTCTTTTCCAGTCTACAACCAAGAAAATATTAAATAAATCGAGTAAAACATGTTTGAATTTACTCTTTTTTGTACTATTTTACTGATATTTGTATGTCTGCGAGAAAAAGCGTTTTCATCCACTTTCTGTCTATTTTAACTAAATTATAATATGAAATAGAAATGTCAGTGCTAATATTTTTAGTCCTTGTTAAACACCATAGAAAAGAACTTTATCAATCATTATTTCTTTTTTCTTATTTTTGCTTGTGGCATTGTAACATTTTAAGACTTTATCGGTGATGGCATTTTGCTACAGCAAAAAAAAAAGAAAAGGGGATAAGAATATCACTGGTTAGCAGCAGCGTCTCAATTATTAGCGTTTTAATTTTTTTCTCCTTTCTGAATACAAATTGCTTATTTTTCTTCTGATTTTTATCAGAACATTGTATGTTCTGATTTTTGTCTTACCAAATTATTTATTAATGTTCAATCGACATTTAGCTGTTAGAACTGTCTATAATAAGGTGAGAATTAGAGTTTATCTCTATGATCAATTAAATGAGAAAAATGCTTAAGGAAATAGGGGAAAAACATACGAAGTAGAAGTTGGAAAATTGAGGAAAGAAGATTTATGATAAAATTGATATCCTGGAAGTGTAACGGTAGAAAATGAAACACTTGGTAAAGGAATCTTTATTTGCGATTTGGTATTTCTATGTAGCGAAATTATGTACACCGTATCTTCAACGCAGCATTTGAACAAATCTTTCGTGTTGGGCTACTTCTGGCCTTCCTTCATATTGCGTTTCTTTATGTTCCTTTCACTTTTCCAATGTGTCTCCACAACTTTGTGTCATTTGCCTTCCGTGACATCAAATTTATCTCCCTGCTGTTTGATGTTTTTATGTCGATGGACGTCCCTTTATATACTACTGATAAGATTTATCAGTAGCACATACCACAGAAGTACTTTTAATCGTAACTGGATATGATAAAAATTTAAGGTTCCACAATGTATATAAAGTGTTACCGGATTGTTTTAACGATTTAATGTTAAAATATTATGCAATAAAATATTTTCGGTATTTACAAACACTGTTATCCTATACGTCCTACATTTTTTTATTCAGAATGAAGCCATTTACTACTCAGCATTAAGTTTTAGCGAATCAATAGCCATTACCACAACTAACTTTAACAAAGGCTGATGAATTT